GTACCTGCGACGAAAGAAAGAATTTAACCTGAATACCCAAACTTCAGAGATACAAAAGAAATTAAAAGGGAGAAGACATACCTGCAAAGACAAAAGATGAGGAAAGCTGTATGTTCGTTCGGAAACAGGGGTACCCTCCTTGTCTTGATATTTGTTAACAAAATTTGTCCATCCCCTTTCTTTCTCAGGGAGTTTAGCTAGGGCCCAACCTTGATGGTTGAGAGTAGGTTCTTGACCTCCGAAAGAGACCAGAACAGGATCGTCGCCTACGATTGGTAGATGCGCAATAACTGCCACATCCATCAAGGTCGGTCCAATAGGACCTGAGGGGAGGAAGAAGGCACCCGCCTGAGAATGCCAAAAGGCTGCCATGGCCAGTAGGACTTTGTCGTGCAGATAGAGAGGTTGTGTTGAGTGGAGGATAGCTTTATCAATCCCTTGATTTTTCCATTGGTCCTCGAAGTGGGGAAGAAGCCTTGCGTACCATTTGCGATAGGCGTCTTTCGGATCAGTAAGGTGAGTCTTGATACTGTCTAGGAGGCGTTCTGGCTTTAACGCGTCGTTGTTGACGACGATGGGAGAAACTTGAGCAATCACAGACCTCATGCGTTCAACGTCTACGGTAGTGGTGCAGTAAGGGCGTATGGTGGGAGTAAGAACTTTTGAAGCCACAGAAGGCACTGAGGGATCAGCCCCATCGAAAGGAAGCGCAGGAATATACTGGTTAGCCATTTATGTGAAGGTGAAGGAGACGAAGAGGAAGGAAATATCAAAGGAAAAAGTTAATGTAGAAACAGAAGGGAATTTCCAGAACTTTGAATGCGTGAGTTTGAGAAGGTGAATGTAGGGTTTAACATAAACCCTTTGATTTGATGCGGCACAGTGTGATGATTACATTCTGTAAACCCCTAAACGTCACGTTTCCCGTAGGTTAAGGAGTGACGTTTCGGTGTTAGGCGAGAGGAGGCAAGTTGTTGAGCACAAAAAATGGTAGGTAGGGTTTTTTAAAATGGGCCTGCCAAATTAGGTTAAGATTTATTCAAAAAGTCTAGTGGGCTTTTGAAAGTCCAAATATAGCTGCAAGGATCGGGCGGTCAAGTCGGGTACGATCAGGACGGGCGCGAAGGTTCGGGTGTAAAGGTCGGACAGTGGAGTCGGACCTAGTCGGGCCAAGCTTAAAGGTCGGACACGAAGGTTCGGGTGTAAAGGTCGGACAGTGGGGTCGGACCTGGTCAGGCCAAGCTTAGAGGTCGGGCGCAATCAGTGTCGAATTTGAAAGTCGGGCATGATTAGGTCTTGTATGGAGGTAAGGCAAGATAAGGTCGGACGTAATAAGGTCGGGCGGTGAAGTAGCTAATCTGCAGGTCGGGTGAGAAAGCAGTTTCTGATAATGGAGGGTGGTTTCAACTGACGAACAGTTTTTTAAGGTCGGACGTGGTAGGACGGTTGACACACGTGTCAATAGAAAAGAACTTCTGGGACGGTTAACAGCGGTGATGGTAACCGATCAGATAGCGATTTGAACCGTTTTCTCAAGGGGGTTATTTAAGGATCCAGTGCTGTTCGAATAAAGGCATCTTCAATCGACATCAAATTCAAGAGAATTGCTTTTGGGGATCACCACTTTATTTTCCAGTTTTTTTTTATTTTCCTATTTTATTTTATGTATTATACAGTGTTTAGAGATTCCCAATCTCAGGCACTCATCTATCAAATTCGAAGATATTTCTCTATTTTCAAATTTTACTTTTTATTGTTGAAAAAATACATCAACACAAGTATTGTCGTTTTGTTTGTGTAAGAAGAAAATAATAATTATATTATAAAGTAATACTCCCTCCGTCCTTAATAATCTATCGATTTTTATATATTGGTTCGTCGTATAACAAAGTATCAATTATTTTTTAGTAACTCTATTATATATAATAAGATTAGTTTAGTCTTTTTACATTTATTTTTAATATATTCCAATATAATATTAATATTCCTAAACTCTGTGCAAAAAATAAATAGATAGATAAATATGGGACAGAGGAAATATAAATTTAATAATTTTATTAAACTAATAACATATACTATTTTTAAATAGCAAATATTACATCACCAAATATCACATATATAATGGTATAATAAGAACACATGCAATTTCTATTTAAACATGAAATACACTAATTTAAACAAAATAGCAACACTTAATCGGTATAAAAGGATGCATATGAAAATAAAAAAGCACAACAAACATTTTAATATAATACTACATCCGTACCATATATATATATATATTTATTTACTTTTTACACGAAGTTTTAGGAATATTAGTATTATATATATATATTTATTTACTTTTTACACGAAGTTTTAGGAATATTAGTATTATATTGGAATGTAGTAGAAGTAAAGATAAAAAGACTAAATTGTCCTTATTAGTATTGTATAATATAAAGGTAATGACATTTGTGTAATATATTATAATTTGGAAGGGTATTTGTAATATTAGGTAAATAGTACAGTTACTAAAAAAGGAAATGAATACTTTGTTATGGAACGAACGAAAATGAAAAAATAGATAGATTGTTAAGGGATCGAGGGAGTATATGATAGAAAAAATACATAAACCCTATAAACCCTAAAAATAATTGTGATCGTAAAATAAAAAAACACAACAAATATGTTACTCCTTCCGTCCCACTTATCATGTCTACATATTCATTTCCGTATGTTCTACTTATTTTGTCACTTTTCATTTTTAGAAAATAATTATACACTTTAATTTTATTTTAAATTTTTTAATTTATAATTTTTTAATTTTAATTAAATTAATTAATTATTTTAATCTTAATCTAAAATTATTTTTATTATACGATAATCATTTTCACTAATATATTCTTAATTATTTACTAATTATACCCCTACTAAATTTTCGTTCCTACAGTAAATGAGATACGGCAGCCGGGACGTAAAAAGTAATACTCCCTCCGTCCACTAAATAAGTATACATTTACTTTTGGCGCAGAGATTAAGGAATAATAGTATTTTAATTATAGTGGGTAGATAAAAGTAGTGAAATGACATTTTTGCTCTTACTTTTTTGGTATAAAAGTAATGATGTGATGTAAAGTAGGGGTATTTGTGGAAAAAATAGGGTATTTAATGAAATGGTTATTTTGTAATTGGACGTCCCAAAATAGAAACATGTATACTTTCTAGCTGGACGGAGGGAGGATATAATAAAAAGTATATATATATATATAAACCCTACAAACAATCTATGATCATAATATTTTCTTAATGTATGTCAGAAAAAAAAATAATTATTATATTATAAGTTAATATTAGTATGATTTTCATGAATAAGAATATCTTCTTACATAATCACAATAAAAATATAATGACTGTATAAAATATTACATCTAATATGTATTTAATCGGAGTACATACAAAGTCGTTTGAGGAAAAGTTAGTCTCTTTAATTTTATTTTTGCTTTTCAAAATTTTACTATATAACCCTTACAATTTTTTTTACTCCTTTCTCTCTTTTTAATATAGTACATTTTTTGAGTTTTACATTAAATTAAAAAATAATATTATTTAATTAATAATAAAAATGTAAAAAAAATTGATATTTTTATCTATTTGACTTTGTGTGTAAATTAGTTGTATAAGTAATTATATATTTGTAATTTAAATAAAAGTTAAGAACTATTCCCTCCGGCCTCGTCTAAATAGGCTCTGTGAAGTTATGTAATAGATTAAAAAATAATAGTATTTTATTAATTAGTGAAAGTGTATAAGAGGTTTTGACATTTTTGCCCATTTGACTTTATGTAAAAAATAATTGTATATGTAATGATATATTTGTAATTTAGATAAAAGTTAAATATATTTTAGTATTGATATATGATTATTTATACTAAAATATGAAATAAATACTTTGGAGTAAAACAGACGAAAATAGTAAAAATGGTATTTTGAGTTGCAATGAATAGTGTATTTTAGTATTAATGTATAATTATTTTATTAAAATAGAAAATATATATATTTTTTTAAATGTTGAAAAAAAAGAATTGAGACAAATATAATACTCGTTCCGTCCGTCCCAACTCAAAGTACTTTTTTATTATTTCCGTCTGTCTCACTCTAAAGTATTTTTTTACTTTAGTAAAAGTAATCATACATAAATACTAAAATATCCTTTTAACTTTTACCTAAATTACAAATATATCATTACACGTACAATTAGTTTTTACATAAAGTGAAAATGAAAGGTCAAAAATATCAAAAATTTTTACATATTTTTATTAACTAATAAAATACTACTATTCTCTACGTCCACAAAATAATATCTTAATTTTCTATTTGAGACCTCCAACAACTATTGTCCTATTTCATTTTTTAAATACAAATTTTACATTTTTACCTTTCATTCATTTATTACTTTTAATCTCTATCATACACTTAAGGGCAAATTTGTCCATTCATAACAAAAAGACAATCACCTAAAAAAAGTGCAAATATACTTTAGGACAATAAAAATTAGATGAACGAAGTATTATTTTTTAATTTACAGTAAAATTTCAAATGGACCATCTGGATCAGACGAAGGGGGTAGAAAATATCACATTACAACGCAGCTAAGTAAACCAATTTTTATACAATGCCAATTGTGTTAATTGTATCTATTATTTGTCATTTAATCTTTTACAAAATAAGTTCCTATACTTTATTATTTAAGACAATTTTGAACATATAATTTAAAAATTATTTCTAAATTTGATATATTACATGATATTCCAAAATTCATCCAAATCCTTCTTATTTGCTTAATTTTGAAAACTTTCAAACCAAATAAAAAAATAAAAGAAATCCCTAAAAGCCAAAAAAAAAAAAAAAAAAAAACTATGACTAAAACCAAACACCGAATAGTTCTCCCAAACAAACAAACCATTTTATAGCTCACTATTTTAACATCAAATTAAACAGAGTAGCTAGTTCAGAAATACCTTAGAAGCATTAGCCAAGCTTTCTTGATGTTGATGTTGTTGGTCGCCGTCGTCGTCGTCGTCGTCTTCTTCTTCTTCTAAACTCCATAGGTAACTGGCGTATGCCGCAAGACTATGGCTGGAGGGAGGAGACAGAAAGATATGATATGATATGATTGATGACAACTATGAAGAAGCAATTAGCGAAGACAGACAGAGAGACGGAGAGATGTATCTATCTATCTATCTATCTGATTGTGTATTTATTTATTTATTGGTTTTTAGAGTAATGGTAAGGTTGAGCGAGAGAGCACCTTTCTCCCTCACCTATCTTGGGCTTGTGGATAGAAATAGTCATCGGAGGAGGAGGCTTTAGCAGCAGCTCCGTTGTCGTCGTGGTCGTCTTCTGCAGCCCCTCTCTGTCCCTGGAAATAGTAGCACTTATCGTATTCCTCTTCCAATAAACCAATTAAATCCAGTACTGCTATTATCTAGATACATATCGAGTGAAATCGAAAACAACGAACCTGGAGGTGGTTCTGAGGATTAGGATTAGGATTAGGAATAGAAGCAGCAGTAGTGACTGAATTAATGTGGTGATAGGGACTTGATTGAATCACTTGTTCCTGCTGCCTGCCGAAGCTGAACTCACCTGCTTCTGCAGCGGCCGCAGATCTGTCCAGCAGCTTCGTACGATCTTCTTCTTCTTCTTCAGCCCCAAACTCAATTTTCTCTTCGCTGCTGTTATATATGGCGAAGGATGGCTCTGTGTGCAGCACGTACTCCTCCCCTTCCTTCTCCTTGGAGTTGGATCCCTCCATCATCATCTTGCACGAGATGCAATAAACTACAAGGGATTTAAATCAGATCCTTGCACCTAGGAACTACTTTCATTTTCTGTGGTGGGGAGAACTTGTTATTAGTAGTCTCTAGATAATATGATAATCTGAGTGAGCATTGATTTTCGTGAACAAGGGCCTGGGCGGCAGTCCCACGTGAAGTAAAGTGATAACAAAGAGGTAAGTAAATAATCCCATCAAAAAAGACGAGGTAAGTAACTAATGCAAGTCAGCTTTAATATTCCTTCCGTTACAACCTTTAAAATTACTTTGGGGACAAATTTGCTTATGAATTGTTCGTCCTTTGTTTGTTCAATACTCAATTGTCTCGAATCAGGATTTATAATAAATTAAAAAATAATAATATTTTATTAGTTAATGAAATTATGTAAGAGTTTTTGATAATTTTTTATATATATATATAATTGCATGTGAAATAGTATGTTTGTAATTTAAATAAAAATTAAAAATATTTCTGTTAGTGTATGGTTATTTTTTGTAAAATACAAAAATAATACTTCCTCCGTCATTCAAATCTATTCTCACTTTCTTTTTTTTGGTTGTCATCCAAATTCACAATTGGATGACGGAAGGAGTACTTTGAAGTGGAATATATGTGTTGATGTATTTTTTCAACAAACAAAAAGTAAAATTCAAAGATATGGAAATATTCTTAAATTTGATTAATTAGTGTCTGAGATTAGGAATCTCTAAACACTGTACGGTACACAAGAAAATTAACTGAAAAATAAAAATGCTGAAAATTTAAAATGGTGATCCCCGAATCTGACTTTGCTTTGTTGAAGTTGATTGAAGATGATTTCTCCAGAAAAATCCAAATCCTTAAATACTCCTTGAGAAACAGTACTGGAAACCGTCGCCCGAACAGTTACAAAGTCTCTTTTTCAACCGTCTGCTAACCCTTCTCCTGCTTACACGTGCCCTTAACCGACCACAGTATCATTCTCACTTACTCTCAACAGTGTTTAACTCCCTGGACCGGCCGCAGACCTTCCGCCTCTTTGGCCCGACCGTAAATCTTCCGCCTACAGACCATCCGACTTGTTAGTCCAGCCGCAGACCTCCCAACTTAAAGACCATCCGACTTATTGGTCCAGCAGCAGACCTCCTGACTTAAAGACCATCCGACTCATTGGTCCAGTCGCAGACCTCCCGACTTAAAGACCATCCAACTTATTGGTCCAGCCGCAGACTTCCCGACTTAAAGACCATCCAACCTGCGGACCTCCCGACCTGAGGATCTTCCGACCTGCGGACTTTCCATCCTGAAGACTTTCCGACCTGCGGACCTTTCAACCTGAGGACCTTCCGACCTGCAGACCTCCCGACCTGAAGACCTTCCGACCTGCGGACTTTCCGACCTGAGGACCTCTCGACCTGAGGACCTTCCGACCTGCGGACTTTCTGTCTTGAAGACTTTCCGACCTGAGGACCTCCCGACCTGAGGACCTTCCGACCTGCGGACTTTCCGTCCTGAGGACTTTCCGTCTTGAGGACTTTCCGACTTGCGGACCTCCCGACCTGAGGACCTTCCGACCTGCAGACCTTCCGACCCGCTATTTCCTTAGAAATATATCTATTTTACCTGAGTTTCCCACGGTGCCCCTCGGCCAGTTCAATCAACTCGATTGCTAGGCCCATTTTTTCTTTTTACCTTGGGCTTTTTAACCTAATTCAAAATTTCATATATAACAACTTGCCCGCCGCTAAGGGACTTTCAAACGCCATTTCTCAATCGTCGTTTGGAAGTTCACAAATCACAACCCTACTGAGAAATCACCTTGGCAACTGCACCACTCCTGATTCCACAAAACTTTCCTTTCTTCAATGCGAGCCTTTGTGAATTATAATCTCTACAACTTTAATCATGACGAATCGATACATCTCTGCACTCCCTGTCGATGGATCAATCCCTGAAACCACTCTCGTGTCGACGAAAATGCGCACTCCAACTGTTCGCCCATATTGCACAACTGCTGAAGACTCCAACCGTATGCGAGAAGTCTTGGAGGCAAGAAATCTGCTGGCGATCAACAACCCTAACTACAACGCAACCCGCCTCCATGACAACATCAAAACGCACTTGACAGACCCCAAGGATCCCTACCACACCTGGTACCAAAGAGTAGCAGAACATTACTATGGTCAATGGAAAACTCAACAAATCGACCAGACCATACGTTTGTCAACTCTCCCATATCATTTACATGAGAAAGTCCTTCTGGCAATGGCAGCGTTTTGGCACCCTGAGGTTTGCACCTTCCTTATTCCATCAGCCCCCATCGGCCCCACCCTCATGGATGTGGCCATGATCGCCCATCTGCCAATCGTAGGGGAAGACCCTGTAATGGGTACCCTAGATGGGCAAGAGCCCAATGCAGACCATTTGGGCTGGTCTTTGACAGACGTGAAAGAATGGGGCTGAACTAAATTTCTAATAGACCAGCAAGGAGCAGACGGGACCCCTGTAACCGACCGAGAACACACAGCCTTCCTGCTCTTTTGGCTCTGTAAGTATGTTGTAGTTTCCCCTTCGAAATGTGTCCTCCCTTCTCATTTTGATCTCGCTATACACATAGCCTCGGGTCGGTTCTTTTCATTAGGCACCCTTTTCCTTGCCAATCTCTTTGAAGGGCTATCCAGGGTTAGCACCCGTCTTACATAAAAAAATGGGTAGAAAATTAGACACTGCTGCGTCGGGTCATTTTTGGTTTCTGGAACTATGGTTCCGTTTTCTGTTTCTATTTTCCTGATGCTTTCCAACTTGGTCATCCTCTCATTGCCCCAACACTTGAGAAGTCTCTAGGAGTAGCCCTTAACTGACTTTTCTTAGGTCGTAATAACCTCCAAGCGTCTGATCCAATCATAACTGCCATTCTTACTGATAATCGCACTGATACCCAATTCTATATACATAAAAGGTATATTGGTTATGCATCTGGCTTCTTTTGGCCATTCCCTGTTCCGTCACCTTTGTCCCAACCAGATCCACTTCCACATCCCACTTATCCTTTCTCTTGGGATGTTGCTCTTAAGCCCAGGTCATTATTCACCAGTAAGAAAATCGATAAAAAGGGTCCCAAAGTCTTCTATACATTCAGCTACCAGCCTCAATTTTTGGCCCGTCAATTCGGATGCCAACAAGGCTTGCCTGGTCCCATTGCTCATCCCCATTTAATAATTCAAAGTCCGGATGGGAGAGCTATTCCTGATGCAATTGCCCCATACATATCCCAACTCACAACTTACATAACTTTCAACTCTTCCATTCCTTACAAATCTTCTCCAACTTTAGTTGAATCCTTTCGCGAGTGGTGGTCGGTTACTTGGTCCTTGATTGCCCCTAATAAGGATCGTTTGCTGGGCATCCTTCTTCCCCCACCTGCAATAACATTAGGGGCGACCCCTCTGACCAACACCCGAAGGAACTTGATTACTCAAGGCTGAGTCGGGTACTCCACAGAGGAAGAGAAGAGCCTCTCAGACTCAAACTATTCCCCCTACTGGGGACAGTCAACCGTCCCTAACAAACCGCCCATCAGGTCGGCCTCCTATAAGGACACGACCCCGTCCAGGTATAATTTCATACTCTCAACTTATCTTGATCCTTGCCTTACCATGATATTAATCCTTATTTTATACTCAGGTGTGACTTCGGCCCGGGTGACTGCCTAACTTGCTTCCAGACCAACTAAAGCAGCAAAGCCACCAACCGACCAACTACAAGAGCCTGAACCCCCGACCAAACGCCGGGCCTCTAATAAAATGCCTTCATCTGTCGAGCAGGCAACAACAAGGGTCTCATCTCCCAATGAGGCGACTGCTTTAGAGATGGGCAGGTTACCTTATGTCGCTTCAGACCCCTCTCTGCCTCCTATGGCACCGATGGCCACGCCTATGCCTGTTTCTGCTACCTCTGATACAACCGCTCCAGACACATCAAACCAAAAAGCAGCCGACTTGGGGGCAGCAGACTTGAAGGTTGCCGACCCAGGGGCAGCAGACTTGGAGGTTGCCGACCCAGGGGCAACAGCCTTGGAGGTTGCCGACCCAGGGGCAGCAAACCCTCCTCCAGAAGCGGACAGACAGGCAGACGAACCTGTGCCTGCTCAACCAAGGGGTCTCTTATAGGAGTTACAAGAGATCCCCTTCTCTGACTCGAAAACCTCTGTTAATCTGGTACACACTCAAATTTTCCATTCCAAATTAAAAACTGATGTTCACATGACATTAAATATATCTCATTCCCATCGTTCAGGGACCCAGATCCAAACCTTAACGCCCATTGGAAGATGCCAACGAGTCGGCTATTGAAATAACAGCCGACCAGCCTTCCAGGTTCATGGCTATTCGTGCACCTTCAGTGACCACCATTCGTCCAGAGGTGAGAATAATTTCCACAATCAATTTTCAATATTAATGCTCCATTCAGTCTGAGATAAACACTTTCATTTCAGGGATGTTCTGACCTAGCCCTGTTGTCGGCCGTCCCCATTCCGACGGACGTCCGAGCTATAATTGCACAGGCTGTTGACCAATCTTTCCCCAACCTGGGGTCAGACTTGCTTGACAGCCTTCTTCAAGCCATTGGTGGTCTCTTGTTTCAAATGTCTTCAGAGTCGGCTGCTGCCCCCATTCTTCACCAACTGATGGAGCGACTATCCGAACTCAGAAATGAAGTTCTGTTCGCTCAACTTTTGATGGCTGAGACACCCTTGCCTGATTTGGATCGAATAAGTCTGGAGGCTTCCTTGACCAAAACCAAGGAATCCATTCAACAGGCAATTGGCCGACTAGAAGGCCTGAATAATGCCAAGACACAAATAGAGAGGTCAATCCAGCAAAAGGAAGCAGAACTGAGGGCGCTTCATCAAGAGAAGACAATCCTGGAATGCCATATAAACGATGAACAACGCCTAATTGATCGATACCAAAGCAATGCAGCCGACCTAGATCAGGAGTTGAAGATTCACGCCCGATCCCAACTCATAAAGCAGTACCAGTCGACTGCTAATAACAGGCGACTCTCCAGGACAGCGGATTAATTGTCCCAAATAAAACTTGTCTTAGGGTCTCTTTTGTAAATTTTGACTTGATAAATAAAATTTCTCTCATTTTTATTAAGGATCACC